GGGGCCCCCGCGGGTCTCCCGGTGTCTCGGGAGCGCCGACTTTCCGCTGGTCGCTGTCCGCAGCGCGGGACGCTCCGGTGTTCTCCCGCAGGTGTGCCGGGATGCCGCTCGGCGCCCCTGAGCGGCTCCGGTGCGCCGGGGAACGAGCGAGAGATCCCTCAGACCGAACCCTGAGAGAGTTTCCAAGTGTTTTAAGATCCTTTCGTAGTCGGAAATAACATTTCATTTCAAAGGGAAGGTAGATGCGATCGTGCTCTGGGCATATGGAAATGCTCAGGTAAACGATTTGTTTTAATATTGCCTTTTGGCCGCTGGAATTTAATCTGTTTTGTTTGTACATTTCTGCAGTTACCTTACTGGATTCCAGATCGGTTCAGGGAGAGCTGGGGTGGATAGCAAGTCCCCTGGAAGGAGGGGTAAGTTTTAAACCGCTATCTGATGAAAAGGGTAAAGGGGGTGATTAGTAACTTTCAGGGAGTCCTAATGGCTCGATTATTGTTGATTGTGGTGAGGAGGTCAGATTTCTTCCCTGGCTTACCGAGTGAATTACTCTTTGTTAGAGAAATTCTATACTCCCTTTGGATAGTTCTGTCATGGAAGATGTGGAAACCAAAAGGGCAGAAAAGAGGTTTCAGAATTAGGAGATTGGTTGAGGCATGGGCTTAGATGCCTATTTAAAACTGAAATACCAACAAGAAATGTGATCTGTTGACTGAATTGGCATTCTTGACTGTTATTATTTTATCTATAGACTGTCTCAGCTGGGAGATGTTCAGGGCAATTGCTGTTCTATTTCTGGATGAAGGAGTAGGAATCAATATACATGACAGACTTTTTGGTGTGACAGGACAGTTGTCCTATTTCAGGGTGTAAACATATCTGTTCAGAGACCAAAACATACAAACTTCAGCACCCAGTGCTTGACTGTGATTCCTTGGAGTTTCTTTTTGTGTACTTTTCAATAAGACAATTGGAGGAGAAGACTGCTTGGATGCACTGCCCAGTGGTGATGCAATGTCATTAAGAGATGCATTGCTGGGGCTTGGAGCCCCCCTTTGCTTAATGAGATGCACACAAGGTAGCTTTATTTTTCAGTTTAGCCTTGGATTAGTGGATGGGCACCTTGCTGTTGTGCCCTGACCTGCAGGGTGGCCAGTGCCTCTGTGGGGAAACTCCCGAAAAATGTTGGACTTTAGAGTTCCTGGGGTCTGGAGGAGATGGTACTTCATGGAACTTTTTTTCAGTGAGCAATTAGAAAGGCTTTTTCTTTCTTCAAGTGAACAATTTAAGAAAAATGCTATCCATGCACACTAAACACTAATATTAAAAAAAAAATCTCAAATCCTTTTAATGTTAAATGACTAAAGCAGCTTAGTATCCTTAAGCAGTAGTAACTAAGTCAAACTGAAAAGTACTGAAAGATCAGGACCTGTGCACAACAAATCACTGGATTCTTAAGGAAACCTACAAATTTACTTTTTTTGTGTGCGTTCCCACTTGCAATTAGAAGAAGCAGAACTAAGGAAACAGCAGCGAGCGGAAGGAATCCAAGGTTGCCTTGGCTGGTGATGCATTATGCATAAGCTCTGAATAACCATAACATGGGAGAATGGGGGATTGTTTTGCTCCCCCATTGTTGTTCTGGGTGAACTTGACTACAGTCCTGGCTTGTGCTTTGCCTGAGTACACTGTGCTGTCCCCAAAACTCGGTTTTTCAAAGAATGGGGAAGTGATTGACAGGCCTCTGGCAGCGCCCACGGTGCACATTCACTGCTGATTGCAGGCAATTGCCCTCATCTTTTGACAGTGTGGAAAGGTACAGCTCTATCTCGGTGTGTCTCGGGCTTCCTTGTTAATCCTGCACCCTGCAAAGGTCGGTTAATGAGACTGGGTCTTTCATACAGCTCTCCAAGGGATTTCTACGCTGTGTATTAAAACAGCACCTAAAATACAAGTTTTAATAAGTCGGCAGTAGAATCAGTGATCAGAGGACAGCTGTATATTATTAATGGCTGTTGGATTCCCCCATTTCCCCCCACTATTTTTTTTTAAAGTGCCATGCAAGCTGGAGAAGGAAATGTGTGCTCTTATTGTGGACGTGACTCGTTTCACTAAACCTACATACGTGCGTTCTATTTTTAAGCCTGTAGTGAAAAATTTAAGAGTGCATGGTCTGTCTCTGAGATACAGTGCTTGGAAAGCATTTACTTTGACTTCATATGTTGCAGATTTATTTCAAGCAGCAGAAATTAACTCGTCTTCTTGAGAAGATTTTGTCCTTCAGTGTTTTTTTCTTTAACTGTTTACACTATATTGTCAATTTAAAGAAAACAAAGGCATTTTTCTAGATCTATACCACATTGTTCCAAAGGTGTGAGGGTTGTGTGGATAAGAAGGGCTGGAGATAAACATAATCATTTAGCAGTGACTAGCAGTAATCAAATTATAGTAGCCCTGGAGGAATTAATGAATTGCATTATAAATGTAATTAATGATTTACTCTTGCATTTCATAGTTGAAAAGCAGGTTTTGTGCCCAGAATGTTTCACTCTGCATCATTAAACTGTGGGAAGAGTTGAATTATAAAAGTTAATTTCAGCTTGAAAGCAAGAAGTTACAGCTTTGACCACATACTTGGAGTTACAAATCATTTCCAGTGGCTGGAAATCTGGGGCTGTAGTTATTTATCTCTGGCAGAAAGAAGCGCTTAGGTTTGTTTTGTGTTTGTGAAATAAGAAACCCACTTTGTATATTTCTGTGTTGGTCAGGATTTGGAGAACCTGATCTGAAAACTTGCTGAATTCAGTTGCAGTCTGTCTGTTGACCTCAGCGGTCTCTTTATTGAATCCTCTAGCAGCATCCTCCATTGTGTAAATGCACTAAAGGAAATCCCATCAACAAGTATTATTTCCCTCTGCTTCTTCCTTTCTCTTGTACCACACACAATATAGGTAGCGTAGGCAGTCTGAAGATAAGCTGAATGGAAAGTGATGGATCATAAAGACAATATTGTAACAGTAAACTAGCTCTGTGGCAGTTGTAAATTAAACAACTCTGTCTTCTTACTAGCAACATGTTACACTTTACATTGATAGATGACTTTTTAAGATTTATTTTTTGCTTTTCTCTGAAAAGGAGTGACATGCTGAGTATTGATTTGCCCTCCCCTCATTTTAATTTGCAGTTATCTCTTGGCAGCAAATAAAATATTATTCTTTCTGCTCCTAGTGACTCATGGTGCTAACTACTGTCATTCTATAAGGGGATTCAGCTAAGCTGGAAGCTTTTTAAGTAAAAATCACTTGCATAAGAGCAATCCTTGAGAAGAATGCAGGATATTATACAAGAAGCCCCTTAACGTTAAGAAGGCTTCTGTTTATCAAAGCCATGGCTTCAGTAGTTCTGAAAAGCACTTCTGGGAAGTCTCTTTAAAGTTATTACTCTTTTCCAAGGATAATTTTATATGCTCCATTGTATTGCCTGCAAACCTAGTCAGTATATCATTATCCAGTATTTTTTAAAGGAGGATTTTTCTGATACTGAAATGCTGTGGGTTTATTTTCTGGAAAGATTTCTCTCCCTAATGCCCCTGCTTTCCCTTTCCTCCCTACCAGGAGAGCACTGTGATAAACTTTCTTCTGTCTATAATACTTTAAAACAAATTTTTTTTTTTCAGAACTGTTGGTTGTGTGTGCTTTCCTTTTCTAAGTTCATCATGCTGAACTCCAGAATCTCTACTTTCCATACGCTCCTTGGATTACATGTATTGTTGTTATTTCGTAATCATGTTGCCTCTTTGGCACTTCTGAAAATGCCTGGACTTGATGTGAGGGGGTGTAACAATTTTGAAGCATGCTGCTGCCCTGATCTTACAGCACTTTCCCTCTTTGCTAACCTTTTCTGGTTTTTGATAGTATGACTTCACCTGTTTCCTGACATATCTTCTAGACTAAGATGTGTAATATTTCTCCTTTTCCTATCTTCCCACTAATGTGGAACTTGTTTAGATAACAAAGTTACCATGGTGTTGCTGTTAGATTGATGTTGTCTCCTTACCTCTTGTTCCTTCTGTGAGTGCCACCCAAGTCAAGGACCCAGTTTTCTGCAGACAGCTATTTCTGCCCAGCACCAAAGTACAGATTATTTGTTGAGTGTCTCTGGGGTATTGCTAGACCTGGAAAGTAGTTGGCAGCTTAGAGAAATAACGAGTGGCTTAAGAGTTCTTAAAATATGTGGTGGTGGTGCCAGAAACATGAATGTTACTGTCCCTGCCTTGTGCTTTTTGTGTGACTAAGTCACGTTATGTCCCTGGTGGTTATTCCCATGTACAAGGTTGGGTCCATGTGTTACCTACCACAGAGAAAATGTTGTAGGCCAGTACTGCTCTGTGACTCTGTAGTGTAGGCAAAGTCCTGTGGCCTGAACTGTAGTGGGAGCAAACCTAGCCAGCTGATTGAGCTTTCTTGGATTGGTTCCAAGGGCTTTTAAGGCACATGCTGCTTCTCGAGGCAGTACTTGATTTGGAGCTGGTTTCTCCTGAACAGATTCTTCCTTTAATGTCCAAGTAGTTGAGGTCCTGGCTATGGCTTGGTCTGCTGGGTTTGGGTGTCTCTTGTTTGTTTCCCTGTAATGGAAAAGGTGCAGATTATGTTTACTGTGAAGTTCTGTTGTTCCTTTCAACACTGTGTTGTTCCTTTCCCTTTTCCTCCCTGCAGTGGGAGGAAGTGAGCATTATGGATGAGAAGAACACTCCGATCCGCACATACCAAGTCTGCAATGTGATGGAGCCCAGTCAGAACAATTGGTTACGAACTGATTGGATTCCCCGTGAGGGGGCTCAGAGGGTATATATTGAAATCAAGTTCACGCTAAGGGACTGCAACAGCCTGCCGGGTGTCATGGGAACTTGCAAAGAGACTTTCAACCTTTATTACTATGAGTCAAACAATGATAAGGAGCGTTTTATTCGAGAGAGCCAGTTTGCCAAGATCGACACCATTGCTGCTGACGAGAGCTTTACCCAGGTGGACATTGGTGACAGGATCATGAAGCTGAACACAGAGATACGGGATGTGGGACCACTCAGCAAGAAGGGGTTTTATTTGGCTTTTCAGGATGTCGGTGCCTGCATTGCTTTAGTCTCTGTTCGTGTCTTCTACAAGAAGTGTCCGTTGACCGTTCGGAACCTGGCACAGTTTCCAGACACCATTACTGGGGCTGATACATCCTCTCTGGTGGAGGTTCGTGGCTCCTGTGTCAACAACTCGGAAGAGAAGGATGTGCCAAAAATGTACTGTGGGGCAGATGGCGAATGGCTGGTGCCCATTGGCAACTGTCTGTGCAACGCTGGCTATGAAGAACGCAATGGTGAATGCCAAGGTAGGATGAGCCATATTGTACTCTTCATTAGGGCTTAGTTGAATGCATAATTGAATCGGAGATGAGAGTGAATGGAGTAAAGCCAGTAATTAGCAGCCCCGTGGGATGTGCTGGGACAGAGGGGTTTAATGAAGAAGTCCAATAGCTCCAGGTGGCAAAGCTAAGAATTGTATAATGCAAAACAAATGATACTGCCATAATAGGCAGAAGGTGAAACACATTTTCTAACAGGCGCCTAAATTTGATTTGGCTCAGGATAGTCACCAAGATGTGAATGACTGCAAAACAGTGCAGTTGAGCTACTGTTGTTTGAAGAGACAAATCTTTCAAGTGAACTTTGTTAAGCACAGAAAATTCTGGCCAAGTCTCCTTTGGATATTGCAGTGGGTTAAGAACCGATCTGGGAGGCAGGCAACAGAAGTTTTAGCTGGATTACTTTCCCACTTTGGGAAGTGGAAGTCTTTGGTGTTTTACTTGTTGCAGATTTTTAGCACTAAATGCCCTTTGATATTTGACACTGCTGCCTTTGTTAAATATTTTCATTTCTCAGAGAGTCTCTATTGTCAGTTAAATAATAGAGGTGCTAGGATACTCTTTAGAAATGCTAAAAGTCTCCACCCCACCCTCCCACACACACACACACCATCCTGTGTGCTGCAGAATTAGGGATTAAAGTTTGTATAAAAGACACATTCTCTTAAAAGAATAAAACCTCAATACCTATATTCTCTTCACATCCCTTTTCTGGAAAAAGAAGTTGTAAAAGGTTAGGCAATGAGAGAAGGGAGTTCATAAATAAAATATCTTTAGCCTCTGCTTCTAAACTCTTGCTCATGTAAGCATAAATTAAGATCAGACTTAAATGGATTCTTGCACAGGTCAGTGAGCTGAATTTTGCTGGGTGCTGAATTGAAGGTGCTCAGTTCCTTAGGGCATTTGGAACCATGCTTGTGGAAAAGGTACTTTGGAGCCAGTTACCTCATATCTTGGTGTGTTTTTTCACTAGATCAGTTTTTTTATCTTGAGACTGAGAACAAGTTAGCAGGGCAAGTAGCTGACTGCTTTTGTGCTGGAGTCCTAAGAGAACAGTGTCTTTTGAATGTCCTACTTGATTTCTTTTAAATGGTATTTGACACTCAATAGGAAGGTCATTATTATGTGTTGAAATTAAGCCTCGGTAGGAAAGAATTGCTACATGTGAAGTTCAGCCTTAATTTCTAGAATTTTTGCTATATGGCATGAGCTTAGGTGTGCCATTGTGGCAACAAAATTGCTGTGGGCTGTACAGAGAACTGAAAGATGAGCATCACAATGACAGGGCCTTCTGTCCGGGGTATATTGCTCTGTTTTTTCTTCAGATTTTTTGGAGTTTGAGTTTTTCTGAATCCCATGAGATGGAAGCTTGAAAACCTGTTTATCATGAAATGTGTGAACGTGAGGCTGTGGTACTCACTGGGTGCTGTCAGGGAGATGCTGTTATTCTCTTACAGCTCAATAACTTCTGGGCAAAGCTTCTTGACACCTTTACAGCCTAAGCTGGGAGAGGAGAAAGTGACTGTGGAGGGGAAGAGCATCTTGGTTTATTGCACAGAGATTTTTCTGCCTTCTCCTAAAGGCCTGTTAGGTCAGCACTGGGTCACTCTGATTGACACAGATCTACCATTTTTCAGCGTCAGTGGCCCAGACGTGATGAGCTAATTGCCTAACAAATCCTGTGTTGTTCAAGGGAAATCTCTTGAGGTTTTGCTGGTGGGCAGTGGCTATAGTGGCATGCTTTTAAAATTTATTTTAGTATTGGACTAGACCTTGGGGATTAGTGTCAGCTTACCTGATGGCGCTCAGCTTGTCCTTAGGAATTTTGGGCTCAGGAAACCCAATTCTCTACTTCCCAATTAAAAGGGAGATCAGGTGATGCCATAGTGACAAAAGCGGTAAAAATTATCTGTTTCTTGGGCTCTTCAGAGTGAAGTTTGCCTGTGCTAGTCGTTTTGAGAGTATTTGAGACAGCATTTAATTTGAAAGTGCTAAATCCATTTCATCAGCAGTTATTTGTGGTTTCCTTTTCTCATGGTTGCCATTCTCCAGCTAGAAGAGTTTACTGGGAAGCTCCTCTTGATGAATTCATGAAGCTCACCAGAACTGTGCAGCTTCTCTCTGGTTTCCAGTGAGGCCGTTAAAGCAGTTTGGCCTTTGACACCACTAAATGAAGCTTCCCCTTTTCTTTCCCCTCTTAACTTCATCGTTTAGCAAATGTTCTGCTCTGACAGGTTTTTGAAGGGGAGGAGGAGGATGAAGTGAGGAGGAGTCCTGTGGTTTTAGTACAGAGTATTGGGGGCAGGGGGAGACTCTGAGTTTGGGAAAGGCTGTAAAAGGGTGCTGGTCTGGGATTGGAGCTGGTGAACAGGTTCCACCTCAATTGTTTTTCAATAGGTTGACTGTGGCAGGACAAATACAAGGAAAGGTCAGAGGTTGTCCATTTCCTCATCCATCTTCCCCTGTGATCCTAGGGTCAGAGTTAGGATTGATTAAGATCTTAAATGCTTAACAAAAGCTCAGTGGGCAGAAACAGTCCAGGCCAGCGGATTGGGGCTTTGCACTTGTTGGGAGATCCACAGTTGATGTCGGAGCTCCTTGTCCTCCTGGAACCTGCTGCACAGTGCCGGGACAGACCAGTTGCCACTTCGGTTGCCCTGCAAGCAGCTTCAAGTTCACTCTACCTCCTGATTCTTCAGGAATACCTTTTCCTTGAGCTGCTTTTGCTTAATTTCTGATGTATGTGTGGGAAGCATAATAGAAAGGCACTTCACATCTGAAGTTGTTCCTGTAGTGGGAGTTAATGACTCTCTGACCTTGAATGGGATTGTAAAAAAATTGTGTTGTTGGTATGGATGTGTTTGAATATGAACACAAAAAACTGTCCTTCCTCTGACTGCTGGGGTTTTTTCCCCAACTGGCTTTATTGGTGATGATTGTCTTACTGAACATCCATGTGTGTGTATGTGCAAAAACCTAGGGCAGGAAGGAAAAGGAGCTGAGCATTTAATCTATATTGATTTTGGAAGCTTCACAGGTGTGTCATGGCAGTGGTTCTACAAAATTGGTCATGATCAGTACAAATATTCTGCATGATTCTTTGCATGCAGATGAACTTATAGCTATGAACTTGATACCAAAAAAATTCCAATTCTCTGCTGTTTTTTTTCCTTACTATTACTCTTTATTCTCCCTCAAATGTTCTGTGTTAATGGCTATCCATTTAGGAGAGCATAAATGTGGAATATTGTTGATGGAACATGACAATCCCAACTAGTGACACATCTCAAGGCTAAGGCAATTAGTGCTTTAGGGCGAAGCTGAGACAGAAAGTGATTTTAAACTTCGCTTGTACACATCTTTGTTATGTAAAGTGCTTTGTTACACATTATATTAATGTGGTTTGGATTTAGTTATGATTTCCTTATGATAAAACATATCTTTCTAACTCAAAGGAGGAGGGGGGGAAAATAAGCAGGAAGGGAGAAAAGACAGATTAAAGAAGCAATAGACTGTAGCCATCTGTGATGATTTTGATGCTGTGAAATTACAAATCTCAATTTTAGACCTGCCATTTAGTATAAATATGTGAGACAGTTGAGATTTTTACTGTGATACTGTAAAGGTTATGAGAGCCAACAGCTTTGTCTTCATCTACACTTGCTTTTTTTGAGTTGTGAATTGGCCAATTGGCAGAAAATCCAGTGTCATTTAAAATATGGCTCAGTCCTGGTTTCATATCACTGCTGTTTTTAGAATTTTCCTTGGAACTTTGATAAGAGCATCCCTAAGAAGTAATAATTTGAATGATAAGATTCTTTTAATCTCGAAGGCTTTGAAGAGTGGCTGTGATCATTGAAAGCAGCAGTTGAGTTTACATCAGAAGGGTACAGTCTAATTATATGTTTTTCTGTGATAAGATTTTTGGATGGTGGGGTTTGTAGGGGTGTGGAAAGAAAGTAATTTGTGTGTACTCTCCCATTTTAGTCATAGATAACTTTTTTTGGTCAGAATAGCACTGATGTACAGTCTGGCTGCACAAAAGGGTAATCAGAAGGGTGACTAAGACTGCACAGATTTGAGATTTCAGAAGGAATTTTTTTTTCAGGTTGATTATTTTTGGCAGGGGAAAAAAATGCACAGACTCAACATGTTACGTTTTAAAAGGAGCTGAGGAGACGGAAGCTACCAGGCGGGGCATGGGAGCGATGCTGAAACACAGTCTGTCTGAACCAAATTTAGTTGGTTCTCTTCTCTGCTGATTTGGTTATGTTATGTTCTCCTGTAGCTCAATAGATCTTCCAAGGGTTACTCCCTCTGGTTTTTTGTTTTTGGTTTTTTTTTTTGGGTTTTTTGGTACCACCTGGTACATTTCAAAATCTCCATTTAAATGTCATTGCATGCTCTGTATTGCTTTTCTCCTGCCTGGCATCCTCAGAAGTCAAGCTGCAGTTGTCAAGCAATTGTCCCTTCATGTATTGTTTGGAGAAATTCAGAAGGAAGCAATCCCAGCCTTCCTGACAAAATTTCCACTTATCCACAGGGGAGCAATATCTGTTCCTTATTCTGTGTGTTACTTTTAAAAAGCATGGTCCTCAGAATCGAAGCCAGATGAGCTGTTGTGGTGATACAAATTTCGTGGTAGGTCTGAGTAGTCTTTTGTGGGACGTATAGCCCATCTTCTGGTTTTTTTGGTATGCTTTATTTTAGGAAAAAAAAAAGGCAAAACAAAACTTTCCAGACAACTCATCTTGTGTGTGATGAGTTCAGTATTTAGATCTTGGCTGGGTGAAGGTTATTATCTGTCTAATAATGTGCTCCAGTGAACTTGGTCTTTATTGTGCTTCTGAGAAGTGATTAAAGAAATGCTCAGCAGTACACTTCAGTCTTTTGAGACTGCATCAACCCCCC